TGGGCTGTGGCCGACGTCGCACTCGCGTGCGTGAAGGCGCGTGGTGTCCGGTGGCGGGAAGGTCTGTGCTGGGGCCGTGCGGGGGCATCCCCCCGGCGCCGCCATTTTATGTTTCTGGGGGCTTGAGCTAGCTTTACAGAAGTAACTTTTGGGCCTGCCGATAAGCCGCTTGTGGGTGCTGGCGAATGCATGGCCTCTTCTAAGGCGGCTGTAAATGCCTTCCCAGCAACCTTGTCATATAGTGTGCTGGTAAGGTAACCGTATATGTAACCTTGCCAGGTAATAGCAAAACAAAATTCCAGTTGGTAAAAGCGTCAACAGGAGAAAAGATGCTGTCTCTCTTCCAGCAGATTCAATTGTACAACTACTGCCCCTTTATAGCACTTCAAAAAAGTTTGCGGTTCGCAACAGGCCATGGATATGCCCTTGAGTCAGAGGTGCTGCAGGAAGGAGGATGTACCACCCCAGGGGTACTCTGGCATGTGCTATCGCTTCTGGCTGCAGATGTTTAGATGCTAGGTGTTTAGCCCCTCTTTCTCTGCTAAAACTCCTCTTGGCTCCTGAGCTGTGCACCCTGGGCGCCATTTTGCGTGCGGAATAGCTCCATTCCTCCAATACTGCAGCACAGCTCATGCAGACAGTTTAAAAAGCATCAGTTTATTTCCTACTTTGGGGACTGATCTTTGGTTAGAGGAAACTAGTATTGTTGCAAAAACCAGAGGTTTGGCTACTGGTTGTCAGGATACGAAATTCAAACGGAGAGACTGGTGTATGAACCTGTGGTTCATCTTAGCCATATGAGGACTGTTGGCAGTAATTCCTTACTTTGGCAGTGTAACAGTAAACCTGCGGACAGGACGTCTGTAATTCCTTTGGGTCATGTTCTTCCTCTGCTCCTCTGGCTGGTAGCTAGGAAACAAGTTGGTAGTTATTAAACCAAAACTTTTTGTGGGAAAAAGTCCCTTCTATACCAGGGAATACAGAGGAAAATATGATCATATCTTAAAAACTGCAGGAGTCAAAAACCCTATCTGAAAAGGCAGGGACTCCATTTCCAATACCCGTATGCATTAACTGGAAGAGAGAAATACAGAGTGCAGGAAAGACTTCTAATGGGTCACTTAAGTTTTCATTCTCTCCTGTTTGTTGCCGCCTACGAGATGCGCTGTGAAGAAAAAGGAGTAGAAAACATAACTTCTTGCCTGTAGTGACAGGAGAGAGATAAAATTCATATTATATGAACAAAGCTGAAGAGAAAAGGCCCAAAATGTCATTTATTTGACTGAAAAATTGAGTTTTGGCATTTAAATATTAGACTTACCACATAGAGTAGTAACAATACTACATCTCTGACTTCTGCAGTGATGCAGTCTATCTTTTCACGCAGTTACCTGCAAAAGACAGGAAAGACCTTTTGAGCAAAAAGACAAGTGATTAGCTAGGTGTCTGAAAGTTATGCCTTATACCATATGTTTTATAGCAGTTTGCATTTATCTGAGTAGTTTGGAGAGTGAGAAAGGATGGTGTGGGGATACTCCAGGATACTCACTGAGATCAGTTAGGCAATTTGGTAAAGGAGCAGCAATCAGTAGTAGGCACTTGTTACGACAAAAGAAGTATAATGTGTGAACCCAGGGACTTCTGCCAT